GACAGCGCTCACACACACACACACACACACACACACACACACACACACACACACACCACATTGCAGGGTTGATGTGGGCAAAGTCGACGACTTTTCTCAGGGGTATCGCTAACTATGGGTGACGTGGCGAGTCAAATGCATCCTGGGCAGACTGTCGCGGTTCAACCTCCTGATGAGTCGGTGAAAGTTCACCGATGAAACAGTCTGGCATAGTCATGCTTTTTTTTGGTGTAAAGCGAACACACACACACACACACACACACACACACACACACACACACACACATACACAGTTATTTAGTTCAGTGTTTGACCGGTCAAGCGTTGACCAAAGGAGAAAAACAAGGGATCATGAAAGACTGGTTAGTCCGACGTTCAGCAGCTTGCCAGGATGCTCGGTAGCGACAGTGACACAAGAAGGGAAAAAAGGGCAGTGAAGAAACACGAAGGGAAGGAGAGGGACACGGAAAAGGATAAACGAAGCTCACCTTTCCTCCGAAGCGCCGAAAACATCCCGCCCCGATCGCCACTCGGCCTCCCCCACAGCTCGTGCGTGCGGCGCTGGCATGGGACTGGGAGGTTAGGGTTGCATCGTGGAGCTATCGTAGGCAGGTGGTGCGGACCTGGCTGTGCCGGCGTTGCCCGCTTGCAGTGTGCGACAAGCAGAACGGAACACCACTGCAGCACCGCGGACAGAAGCCCGGCCCTAACACTGTGCGACAGAGTGGAGGGTGGACGGGTAGGCGTCGTACTCCCGTCTGTACCAGACCAAGGGACTACGCAACAAAATGGTTCCGTAAGTCGCGCAGTGTCTCTCGGAAAGTATAACGACCTGGGGAAAGAACCCCCTACCAACTGGTCAGCTCAGGTTGTGCACCCTTGAAATGTTGAAACACCCTTGAAATGTTGAAATACAGACCTGAGCTCGAACTCCACTCCGCGCAAAGCACCGCCTGGAGTCTTGCCCAGCCCGTTCGCAGCAGGGAGGCTGCGCTTAGTTTTTGGCTGTTTTTGTTCGCAGCCCTAAGGCTGCGGTATAGTGGGCTTAGGCTTCTGCGTCAAGGTGTCACATTTTCGGCGGCGGGCGACCAGGACGCAAAGTGGGTTTTTAGGGGGCAAAAGTTTCGGGGGGACCGGTCCTTTGCAAAATTGGGGACTACCTACAGGCAGCTCTGGAATGACCGGGACTTTTGGAAAAAGCAAGGACCGGTCCTCGGGTGGAAGTGGACCCCAAAAAGAAGTGGGGGTGGGGTAACGGCCCTCAGGCCCAGGCGTTGAGGCCCGTCTTCTCAAAACAGGGAGGTCAGGCGCAACGAAACAGGGGCACCTTTGGCGATTTTCTGTGCTCTTCCTCCCGCAGAAAAATCTGAAATTTTGGGAATCCATATATGAGGTCGTGTTCTTTCTAGGAAAAATATTAGAACATTTTAAAAAAATCATTTAGACCGAGAAATAATCGTCGTGCCGATTGGGCACATTTTCCATTTTTGCCACTCAGCCATGTGTGGGCCAACTTAAAAAGTATTGACTTATCGTGAGGGCACGGGTGCGCAGCCCGTAGTTTGTACATGGTTGATTGATAAAGGAGGCATTATTGGTGAGGTTTAGAAGTAGGGTGAGACACATATGTTGCAAGTGTCGTTTCAACCTCTGCCCACTATCAGAGAGAGAGAGAGAGAGAGAGAGAGAGAGAGAGAGAGAGAGAGAGAGAGAGAGAGAGAGATGGCACCCAAGCGATTGAGATGGCACGCAGAACATCGGGGCACAGATGTGTCTGAATGGGGCGCTGAGTGCGTCCACATTTAGACACATCTGTGGCAAGCGTCGTTTCGGCCTTTTCCGCCCCCGCCCCCACGCCCTGTCCTTTTTGAAATTCGAAGCTCAAGGACCGCTCAAGGACCGCGGCCTGCGCCAACCTAGTACGCGTGCGCGGTCCCACGAGCAGCTACCGGTCCAAAAGAAACTGCCACTTGCTGCCACTAGGCCCTAAAGTGACCTGCCTGCACGTGCCTGCATTTTTGGAGCCTTCCAACGACCAACCAGCCGGAATGAACGACCGGTATAACGACGACGACGAAAAATGTCTTCCGAAGGGAAAACGCAACCCTTACGGGCTGCGAACTCCAAATTGAGTGAGTTTTCACTCTCAAAAGAATTCGTGAAAAAAACTGAAAATTGGAGTACTCGTAGATTTTGTTGTGATCTTTCCAGGAAAAACACTAAATAAATTTAAAAAAATCATTCCAACTGCGAAATAGATCG